ACTATAACTATAAGATCAAATTTTGAAGGGGGAAGGATCTTAGCTAGCTTCGGCACCAAGTCATGTTTCATATTTTTTCAACCAAAAAACCCAAAGTGAAATATATTTCAAAAAAAACTATAGTCAAACACATTTTAAAACTTCAATCCAAACTTCAGCCGAATATGATTTTTTAAAAAAAATATTTGATAATATGTGGTCAAACGCTAGCTGGGTTTGTTTGTTATATGGAGGAAAATATTTTTCATAAGAAAATTCTTATTTTTCCCATATTTGATTGGACAAATATTTTCTCTAGTAAAACAAATATCTTCAAAATGAGGATTGAACTCTCTTGTAAAATATTTTCTCTCTTATTCTATGTTTATTGTATCCTCCCACCAACCTAACACCCCCAACCCCTACTTCTTGACCATCTCAGGCCCACCCCCGACCATCTCATCCCTATAGTTATAGTTTTTTGCTAAGATTATATATAAATGCTCTTGATAAACACTTTTTTTTGCTTACTTCCTAAACACTAGAAAATAAGTAAGAAATCAACTTATTTTTCAAGAAAAATGAAAATTATTCTCCTTCATTCCAAACACACCCTTAGAGTCACATTGTAATTCATAATATTCAATTAATAAAACAATAGCAAGTTTTAATATAACGTAAAAAGTATATAATTTTCATGACCCGTAAAATTGATATGATTCTCAATTATGCATAACACAAGAATTAAAATTTACTAAAATCCTTTTGGCTACAGTCACTAATCCATGGCAGATGTAGGGGCAGGAAGGAATTCACCCGAACCTCATTGACAATAAATTACATTGTAGTTTGTATATATAAGAAAATTTTTGTACATTTATGTACATTTATTAATTTGAACCCCTAAATAAGAAATAAAGTATATCGCAATGGTATAGTGCCTTTCAAATGGACCCCTGTGTTTAGGTTTGTGAGGATTACCGTTTTACATTTGGGTATGAAGGAAAATGTTTTTCAATTTTTTCATGTTTGGTTGGATAAAATATTTTGGAAAATGTTTTTCAAATCAACTCATTTTCCTCAAATTTAAGGAAAATGACTTTCATTCAAAAATTAAGGAAAACATTTTCCAAAACTCTTTTCCAACTTCAAATTACAATTTTTTTTGTTGAAAAAATCAATTTATTTTTTCTCTATCCTCAAACCAGCCCCCCCAAAAATAATAATTTTAAAGCTTATTTTTAAAAAATGGTTTTAACTTCAATTTTTTTACCCCACCCTCACCCCTACGTCCAGCCCCCCCGCCCCCCCCGGCCCTCCCCCCAAAAAAAAATTGAGTTTGTTTACAAAAAATATTTTCAACTTCGAAATTTCATTTTTTTTCACCCCTACACTCGACCCCCACCCACCCCCTACCAGCCCCGCCCCAAAAAAAAATTTAAGTTTGTTTTTAAAAAATATTTTCAACTTCAAAATTTTATTTTTTCACTCAAAAAATTCATTTTCCTTCATACCAAACACACCCTTAGCTTGCGTTATTTTTTTTCCTTTAATTTCGGAAACAACCATAAGCCCGGACCACGATGTCAACTTTCACTTCTTTTTTAAAAAAATAATAATACTGAAATAGTGGATTAATCCCAAAAATATCAAATACTCTCAATCTCAAAGGCCAAATCACTTCTTGCTTTATCTTTCCAAATTTCATAATCACTTCTTTATTTCTTCCGTCGAGAGTCGTGAGTCAAATATTAAAATCATCTCTCATAATTTTATAAATGTTGATTTGATTCATACTTGAATCGCAGATCCAATCTGAAATTAAAAAAATATTAAAACCATGCTTCTTAATTGAGAAAGATTAAACAATGATCTCTTAATTGTTTTTTATTATTTTTTGGAGTTTGTACTTAACATTCTAATTTTAGAGTGATACATCGTGAAGGGCTAATTTTTTTGCTCAACTTAGCATTCTAATTTTAGACTGACACATGGTAAAGGGTTGATTTTTATTTTACGATAATTACTCTGGTTAGTTTTAAGTTTTTTGTGCCGAAATTAACTTTTTGTACCTATAGACTATATACTATTACCTCCCTTAGAATTGTATTTGGCTTAGTCACACATTTATATATTTTTTAAAATACTTCTTAAGTGAAAATTCTGAATTCGTCACAGTACACCACTTGATTACACAACAATTGAATCGATTATAGGGTGTTTTTAGCATTTTCACATATTCTTTGAGAGAAATAAATAGTAATTAGAATAATAATTTAAATGGTAATACAAAGCCATGTGAGTTTATGCACTGTTCACGTGGCTAACTACAAGAAATAGACTTGAATAATAATCAAATTTATATTATAACACCCGCGTGTAATATTAAATAATAAACCAATTCAGGCTAACTTAATTAAACACAAAACAAAGTAAATTAAATAATTACGCCAACCAAGTACGACTAACTTCTATATAATAAGGTAATAATTTAATAATTTTGTGTAAATAATAAAAATAAATATTAAGACATGCTATCCTTATTTGGCTAAACAGATTTTTTATATTCTCCTTCCCCTAAGAAGAAAGACATGTTATCCTTATTTGGCTATAAATAGTGACTATCACAAAATCATTTTTCTCACACACACATTTGATTTAATATTAAGATCGACTTTTTCAACCGCTCAGATATACAATGGCTCCTGGAAAAACTAACTTCAGTTCTCATGAATTTCCTATGGCTAGTGGAGCAAGCCCTTTCAGCTATCGAACAAATTCCGCCTATCAGGTTTATTTCTTTCTTATCGATTAAAATTTCGAGAGTCATTTTCTTTTACTATACAAAAATATCGTAATTTTATCATTTGTATATTTTGAGGTCATTTGTATAACGAACGATAATTTTAAATCTTAGTAAAGTTATGATTTAAAGTCAAGCGAAAATAATGAAGGGTTTTTAGTGAAAAAGTGTATAAATGACCTCAAAGTGTAACAACTTAAAATTAACATACTTTGTATAGTAAAGTGCTAAATATGAACATTTTCGCTTTAATACATGCAATTTGACGTGCTGAAAATAACTGATCATTTTATTTATATTAATACGTACGTAGTTTTCAAATATATAAACTTTATGTTTGTACAGAGACGTGTTGTTCGTGCTACGAAGCAACTGATGCATGCAGTGGTGATGGAAAAACTTCAAGTCGAAAATGGATCGATCTTTCAGATAACTGATATGGGATGTTCAATCGGACCAAACACATTCATTTCAGTTAAAAACATTGTTGAATCAGTGGAATTGAAGTTCCAATTAATCAACACTCAGAAAAAACATATTCAAGTTTTGTTTAACGATCATGCTTATAACGATTTCAATACCCTTTTCGCATCTCTACCATCAGACAAATCATATTATGCTCATGCTGCAATCGGTTCTTTCTATGATCGTGTTTTTCCAGACAAATCTATCCATATCGTCAACTGTTCTTATGGTCTCCATTTTCTCTCTAGAGTTCCAAAGAACGTCGAAAACAGAGAATCACTAGCTTGGAACAAAGGGAAAGTTTATTATTCACATAGTAAAGAAGATGTGATTAGTGAATATTCAAAACAATACGAAAAAGATATGGAATGTTTTTTGAATGCTAGAGCACAAGAAGTTGTACCTGGTGGATTAGTGTTTATTACTGTTCCAGCTCGTCCAAATGGAACTCCTCATTCTAAAGTTATTTACAATATGTTAGCTGACATATTGGGATCTTGTTTTCTCCACTTGGTCAAGCAGGTAAGAATCGTTACGTGTTTTTTTTACTGTCAATTTATGTGAAGGTGTTTGACTGGTTATGGAATAATTTGTAGGGTGATATTGAGGAAGAGGAGGTGGATTCATTCAATATACCAGTGTATATTACATCTCCAATTGAAGTAGAAGAGGCAATTAAAAGAAATGGAAGTTTCAGTATTGAAAAACTAGAGATTCTTTCAAAGGAAACATCACCAATCAATGGTTTAACAGCTAAAGATGCATCAGTACACATAAGGGCTATAACTGAAGGACTAATTGAAGAAAAATTTGGAACAAAAATATTGGACAAACTATTTCAACTTCATGAACAAAAACTTGAGGATGCATATCTTGACTTGATTTCTGGTGAAGCAATAAGTTTATTCATAGCTCTTAAACGCAAGACAAACCTCTAATGGAGTGCATAATTTCTTGTCTTTTTTGCTTTTTTCAAATAATGTTGTTTCTAAGTATGGTTGTCCTTTGGGGTTTCGAAATGTTGTTTCTAGTATGTTGTGTGACGTGTAATGTGTTCGTCACTACTCTATTTTATTTTCGTAATAATGAAACATGATCAAACGTGTACTAATTTGCTTAGGACCTATTTTTTATTGCTCAAACATTTTTAAGTTATGCTCAGCTATCTCTTAAAGGATAATTTATACTCTCTCCGTTTAAAAAAGAATGACCCTTTTTTTTTTGTCAATATTTTAACTTCAACTTTTCACGTGACATATTAAGGCCACAAGATTAAAGGGGAATTTGGTATATTTGACTTTAATTTAGAACCACAAGATTAAAAAGTTTCTTTTCTTTTCTTAAACTCCGTTCTAAATCAAAGTAGATCATTTTTTTTAAACAGAGAGAGAGTAGTACATTTTGAACAAAATGATAACAGATATGGGTGCTCAATCGCAATGAAAATGGAATGGGACAAGGTTGGACTATTTGTGGGAGAACTTCCATCCTTGTGAAGTCATGGAAAAACAATATTGGCCGTTGATGAGGATATTCTACGGTTGAGATGATATGTAATAAAGTGACAAAGATCGATGACGTGGCTGTTCATGAGGTTCCAAAATTTGAATATTTTTGTAATATTGGCGGGGAACTAATGGGCGATTACCGCCATGGATGAATAATAATACATTATATTCAATTTAATACTATATGATTGTTAAACTGAATCTGCCAATAGTATCCATTGAATTCAAGCTAATTTTCAGAAGTTTTGAAACAAGCTACAACCACATCTCCTACATGAACCATACTAATTACACCAGAATAGAACCCATTAACCCCAGCAAAAAGCAAAACAATTTCTTGACAGCAAGACTTTTGCAGACTAAACAAAAGTCCGAACCCAAAAGCTCCCATTCAACCTCCAAAACCATACAGAGTCCTTCCTTGTCTCTTGAGTGCATAGACAACATCCATAGCAGTGACCGTCTTCCTCCTAGCATGCTCAGTGTAGGTAACAGAATCACGAATCACATTCTCCAAAAAGATCTTCAAAACTCCACGAGTTTCCTCATAGATTAGCCCACTGATACGCTTCACTCCTCCTCTACGAGCCAAACGCCTAATAGCAGGCTTAGTGATACCTTGAATGTTATCACGGAGCACCTTACGGTGACGCTTTGCTCCTCCTTTTCCCAATCCTTTTCCTCCCTTTCCACGGCCCGACATTTTCAATCAACCTTGAGTTTATCTGAATCAATACAACAAATAAAAACAATTTAGTAACCCAAATCAACCATATAAACAACACCCAGATAAAATTACAGTATTATTCATGTAAATTAGAAAAAAAATCCAGATTTAGAAAAATTGTTGAATCAAATCCCAATTTAAATATATGATTAAACTAAGCAATTGTTGAAAATTCGAACCTGAAATAGGAAGCCTTCTGAATTTCAAAGAGTGATACGAGAGACAATGATGAAGACGATGGTGATTTGGGGAAAATGAGGGAGCGTATTTATAGCTGGTGGACTATTATTAATGGAGTTGGCTTCGATCCGCGTGATTGGTGAAAGAAGCGATTGTTACCGTCAGATAATACAAGATTAGACGGTCAAGATGAAGTGCCATATGATTGACGAGGATTGCCAGCATGGCATTATTTTATTTTTGTTTTTGTTTGAAATAATGGTGGGAAAGATCGAAATCGATGAAGCAACTGAGCGGGAGAATTGGCTTGGGTTTTGGGCCGGGTCTCGAATACCTCTGTTTCTATTCAAGTTTTTTTTTTTTTAATTCTACTTTGTTTAAAATATATATATATATATATATATATATATATATATATATATATTAACTGATTTTCTAATTTCAAAGTTTTGTGCGACTTATTTAAGATTTACAAGGTATAATTATATTTAGGTGATAGAGAATCATTACCTTGAATCATCAAGTCAAAATCATTACAAGGTATAATTATCTTTGTGATGATCGTTAATTGCGATGCACCAATAAAAAAAAGTGCATTGAGGACATGGTTTAATATGTGACGAATCCAACCATCTAAAAACAAGTCCGAAATAGTTATACAAACTTGTTCAAGACTCCAAGTAAAAGTTTTAATCATAAGGGTCAAGTTGTTATACACAATCTCATCCATATTGCTTGGCATTGGACAAAAAAATCTTAGTCTAATGAGTTATTCTCCATTATTTATAGTCAAAATTAACTATTACATAAATACTCTTAATCAAAATAAGGATCATAACTTGTGTCTTTAAGAATAGTCATTTAAATATAACATGTCACTTTGAATAAGGTGACAATTCAATGTGTTTTTTGAAATGGAGACGACCTAAATTGAACTTAACATGTCACTTTGAATGATGTGACAACCCAATGTGTCTTTTGAAAGGGAGACGACCTAAATTGAATTTAACATGTTACTTTGAACGAGGTAACAACCCAACGTGTCTTTTAAAAGGGAGACGACCCAAATTGAATTTAACATGTGACTTGAAGGGTCAAGTTGTTACACAGAATCTCATCCATATTGCTTGGCATTGGAGGGTCAAGTTGTTACATAAGAATGGAATTGATAGGCAATAATCTTTACTTGAATATCAAAATATTCTATTAAAATTATGAAAACAAACCCCTAAACTATAAGGATGACACCCAAGAGGATTGAATCCTTATCCCTCAACTCTCTCAAGAGTGTACTCATTTCATGAGTATTTAGCATATACAATATACACTCATAATACCTAACATTTCACATGTTTACACTTTACACCACATAATTCTCCAGCTAAGGGTGTGTATCGAACCACCCTTGGCCTAAGGTGGCTCTGCCCATGGTTGTGATGGATCATCTGCTTTGGTTCCTCACACACACTGATGCATTAAACGCGTGTCTTTGTTCGTTCAGCCTAGGCATTTGATTTGTTATCTAAATGTTGTTTCGTTTCAGTCCAGAATTTTAAGGTTTTCCCAAAAATTCTGCTAATAAAACTGTTAAATAATAAGTCCATAAGTAGACTTAGCATGACACTAGTTGAATCCAAGTAAAGTAACGCCGTCCATGATGGTGTATGTTCAAATTATCTGAAGATATTCATGTTTTTTGTAAATTGTATTCACTTGTGTTGTTGTCTCTACTTTTTCTCAAATGACCTGATTTACGAACAATATGTCTATTTTGACAGTGCTGAGTTATTTTAAAATTTCTTACTCCAGTCTCATTATGGATGCCGGAATGAGGAGGCAAATGATAATCCAATGCTAAGGTGATATAACGCGGTATAGCACTTTAATGTATGTATATATATAGTAAATGTTGACCCCTCCTTTGGCTTTTTTTAAACCCTTTTAGTGAAAATTCTGACTCTGTCACTGCTTGCAAGATAGTACAATAGGTTCCACTTTTATAACAGATAGTGAAGTCAGTACTCTTTCCAGTTCTGATCCTTAGCTAATGTTTCCACTCTCTTAATGAGTTCTACTGTGGCCAATTTACATTGTTGGTGAAGTACTCATGATATATATAGACACAACATCATGATAATTGTCCTAGAGATAATGAACAGTATTGTGAATCCGATACAATGCTGATGGATCATACAGTATTTGGCTCCAAGTAAATTTGTGCGCGTACATTGATTGTACAAAATTGTGCATACATCAATCAAAAAGTAGTTTGTTCTTGTGGCTCTTGAGGAGATCAAAGGTGCATAAAGGAACTACATGTTACAATGATGTTGAAGTTCTTGAGTTTATAATTCCCCTGAGGACCCATGCGCGTCCCGCTTTTAGTATTACTCTATGTAAAGAGAATTGCTCTGTTGATCCTAAAGTTATATCCATGTGCTTCCATTTTCATTATGATCATGGGAATGACAAGGATTTGTCTGTTGTTGCATGGCATTGTAGACGGTTGAGACTGCGTTTGCTCATTTTGTATTTGTTGTGCATAGGTTTTGACAGTAGACATGCTTTTCCCCAGATAGTAGGTGTCTTTACAATCTTGTTGATAGCCATATTAGCTTGAAAGTGATGTCTTCTTTGCCTCCTTTATTATTATGGTTATTACTTTTTAAAAAAAATAAAAAAATCGCGATGAACCAGCATTCAAGATCAGTTCTGTTTTGGCTAGCATTTGCTGTTTTGGAAGGGAGTGTTTGTTATTTAAGGTAGTATGAACTACTATTAAGAACCTAGTTTTGTTTTCCTTATGTGTTGTGGAGAAATGATGATATTCAATCAGACTTACTTATGGACAAACAATTGAGAGTTCTCTATGTTCTTAAGTTTCTGTTATTTGAGTTATCAAATTATGTCATTTTGAAGTGAGTTTGTGAATTGGTCTTAGCTTTAACTCGAATCCAAATGCTAGTTCAAGAGGTGAGGATTGTCTAAGTTTATATACAAAGAGACAAATGATCCAAGCCCTAACCGTTGTGGGACTCAATTCTTGCCCGCTCAGGGTTGAACATCTAGAGCATGAACGATATTAGATGGGGTCCAATATCGAGAAAACCATGAACAATAGTCTCTTATAAATGGACATTGAATTTAACTCAACATCCTAAAGTAGTTAGCTCAAGAGACGAGAGTTGCTCAAGATAATATAATGAGAGAAATGATCCAAGTCCAAACGGATACAAGACTCAATCCCCACCCCTTCAGGATTGGATATCTGAAGCATGAACAATATTCAATGGGGGTCCAATATCAAGAAAACCATGAATGAACTAGTTCTTATACCATGATAAGAAAATGAACATTGAGTTTAACTCAACCAGTACTAATGCTAACTCACGAGGATGAGAATTTCCGAAGACGAACGGATGTGGGACCCAACAATTTCAACTTGACTCATGCACCACCAGACCAAGGCCGGGGCTAAAAAAAGAAAAGAAAAGTTGGATTATGATGAGTTTAGAATTGAAAAAAAAAACACTCAAACATGAGTCTATGTAACTTATTTTATTAGATTATGTCTCTTAAAGTCTTAATAAAAATGGTCAGTGGGTAACCCACCGCCGTCCGACCAGAATATATCAACCAGCCTCCCTACTTGTAGGGGCCAATTTAACATTATAATTAGCCTTTCATTATTCAGTAACATGTAAAACCAAATGATTAGTGCAAAAGGGTTATATTTATAATTAAAAATTCTAGTAGCATTACAGAGTTATTAAAGCCAAATGTGCTCTTTCGAGTTATTAAGATTACAATATAAACCATAGTCACCATCAACAACTAAATAGTAGTTTATTTATATCATTCATCCCTACAAGGTTAACTTTTCCTTGATGGTGGGGATAACTTTTTTAGGGCTTTTGTATTTTTAAATTGTTGGGAGTCTCTTGGTCTTGAAGAAACATAGATAATATGTTTGGTCCAACCTACACTATATCAAAAATGATTTTTAACGATAGTTAATCAACGGCAATAGGTTAATTGCCGCTAAATATGTATTTTTAGCAGCAATTATAGCGACATTGAATTCAATGTCAACTAACTGATGTTGGTAAAGAATTTAACATTCTTTGTTAAAGTGTATATTTATTGTAGCTAAAAAATGCTTTTTGTTGTTGTATTATGAATTTTATTATAAAAACGTTAATATTTGTGAAAAAAGTTAATCTTGGAAGATTCACCTCAAATCTTACTCATGAAGAGAAGAATTGTCTATTATTATATAAGGAGTCAATTAACCTATCTCTCGATCAATATGGGACACTTAATACCTCTGTACGCCTAAGCATGTCTATTGTAGCATGAATAATATAACATGAGAATATGAAGACCAAACACTAAAAAACAAAATAACAAAAATGCACCTCACTCTGATACCATGTGGAAGTGGACCTTAAGGTTACTTAATTGGAAAAGTAATTTAACCTTATTAGTTAGTTGAGCTCTAGCAAACATAAGCAATGTTGGATTAGATGAGATTAAAGGAGCACTAAACTTTTGTTTGATAAATCACTATCAGTTTCATTTGATCATTATAAACACATTTGAAGCATCCAAAGATGTGTAAATAGACCTACACTAGTCAAGTCTAAATTTGGTTAATTTAGATATACATATGTAGTGTAGTTGCCCATTGAGAATGCTTTATGTTGTTTCAATGAACTTGTCTGCCTCGAAAGTGATAGACAAATGTTAATTAGGCAATAAGCACCAAAGAAGAATATTTTCTTGATATCAATGAATATATCCATTGAAGCAAGCAATTTTATTTAATTACTTGTCATTCTTTTATGGCCACAACTA